TCGAAGTTACTGGTTTCATGAAGTAGGTGAACACACGTGAAGTGGTAAACTAGCTAGTCGTCTATTTTAGCATCTGACCTACTTCTGTCTTTGGAGTAAAGTATCAAAAATGGAAATAAAACAAACAAAAAATCGCAAACCTTGTGTCAGCTTCGCCTTAAGAGTTACCATGGGAATCAATTTGTGGAAACGTTTCTTTCCACAATTCCAGTTATGCAACTAAAGAAATAGGCCTAGCAAGTTGAGTGATTTTCTCGGGCTTATGAATATAAAAGAAGCATGAAACGGCTTTTAAAATGTACATGTACAATTATAAATTTATTGATAATTTTATATGGAAAATATAAATATCAAAATACATATTTCAAACTTCATAACATCTGCGTTGTTTCTGTAAAAAAAGAAAAATACTGTAGCACCAAGTGATACAGTAATATAGTAACAATAATGAGCTTTAATACTAATAAAAATAATTGTTAATAAACTAATGTTACCGTAATTTAAGTTGACTGGTTTTTCCTGATATAAATAATATCATATCAAAAAACAATACCGTAATATTAAGAGAAATACCAACTTTTTAGTATTCATTTTATTTGCGTAACTCCATTTTGTTTTCGCAACTCTATTGGCGCTCCATATATTTGTTGAAAACAAACCGCGACCGAAATAAAGCGCGACCGAAACAAAGCGCGACCGAAATGATCTGTATTCTATACAATCAATATAAACATTTTATTGAACATGATCATAGTTATATTATATAATTTGTGCTTAGATTTTAATTAAAGAAATAATACATAAAATAAGAATAATGATATTGAATTTGGAGTGGAATCGCCTAGCTTAGTCTTTAATGCTTGTCTTTCAACACAAGGCCTGGGTTCAATTTCTGTGAAAGTAAGGCTTTTTCTAAGGACTAAAAACTACGGAAGCGTATTGCTGCCAACGTAAAAATAAAATTGAGCCATTATAAGTCGTGCGTACGAGATATTATCTTGTACGTACGCGATATTAACTCCTACGTACGAGATATTATCTCCTACGTACGAGATATTAATAATATTAATAATAATATTAATTATTATTAATATTATTAATACCTCGTTCTTGCGTTCAAACATATTTGCTCTTAAGGGCAGGTAATTTTCATTTCCTTACCTAATTTTCTCTATTGTGTTTGGTACTCTTAAAAGAGGTCGCCTCCCCCACTTTGGGTTTGGGCTAGACTTCGAATTAGGGGTACATTGTATAATACTGTTTTTTTTTTTTTTGTTGTAGTTGCTGACTACCATTCCTTGACGGGGTTTCAAATGGAGGCCCAAAGACAGTTCACGGGAGAGGCGGATCCAGTAGGGGGAACGTTCCCCACCCCCATTTTGACACTAAATTTAAAAAAAAATCAATACAAGTTATATGCTACTCACTGACTTATTCTGAGACTGTTGTGCCCCTGTCTCTTATACACATCTAGATGTGTATAAGAGACAGCCTGCATTGTATAATACTCTTTTTTGTTGTTTTTTTTTTAAATTGCTGACTACTATTCCTTGACGGGGTTTAAAATTGGGGCCCAAAGACAGTTCACGGCAGAGGAGGATCCAGTAGGGAGAACGTTCCCCACTCCCGTTTTGGCACCAAATTTTAAAATTTTCAATACAAGTCAAAGTTATATGCTACTCACTTACCTATTGGGAGACTGTTGTGCCCACATCCACCCCGTTCATCATTTGAAAATTTCTGGATCCGCCCCTAGACGGGTGTTATCAAAATAAAAAATAAAAAATTATTGTGTCCAAAAGAAGAAATTGTTTTGCACGAAAACACTTTAAAATTTATTGCACAGTAAAGTACATTAAAATAAAATACATTTACAAAAATATAAAATAAAATACTACACAAAACAAAGGTGCATTACATAACCATCAGATTTTTAAATGCGTTAAAATACAAAAACATCAAAGGTAGAGCACAATAAAAACAAAACAACAATCAAAAGCTACAATATTATTGTGAACATTATTAATATTACTATTATAAAAATTATTATTATAATAACAGTGAGAATAATTATTATTTACACAATCACCATAAATATTGTAATTACAATTATTATTATTATTATTATTATTATTATTATTATTATTATTATTATTATTATTATAGTATCATCAATCCCAATTTCTTCGTTCGAAGTATTACCTCCTAAGGATGTTAAGCAATAAGCCAAGATACTTCTAACTTTAATTTCATGTTACGAAGGCAATACATTTTTCATCAGTTTATCAATGTCCCTCAATTTCGATTTCCTGGATTATCACCGCACTGCAATTGTATATTTTTTTGCCACCAATTTTCTTGATTACTATAGTTTAGAATAGAATAGGTCCCCTGTTGAAAATTACGAAGGTTCTGAATATCACTGAGTAGTAGTTACTGTATTATTGCCTATTAGCATTGGAAATAAGGAATAATGGTAAAGGTAACACCAGTGGCGAATTCACTAAGGGAACAATTATTTTTTTAAATGGTGAAAAAGAGGAAAATATCAATTAAATTAAGGTCTGAGAGTGCCATTTCCAGCCACCACCTAAAGGTGCCATAGGCCTAATCATAATTTTCTTACCTCAGCCCCAAACACGATGAGGCTGAGGTGGTATACACCCACCCGTCTACACTCTGTAAAAGTGCCCTAGAATTTGAATTCCTAGATTTGTCACACTGAAAATTACGGAAGCACTTCTTAAGAGGAATTTTCTGGGAACGTGAATCAGTATTATTTTAATTCTTTAAAATTCAAAATACGATTCTTGAAAATTGAAAACATCGGACGGAGCTTTCAGGGGTTCCCGATCTCCTGAGGAATTACGACCCCAGCAAACCCCACCCCAACTTTTAGCAGGCCTACACCCAGCGCCGCTACATCAAAAGGCCCGGCAAATAATCTTGCACTCGGGCCCGTTCACACATAGCTACGCCGCTGTTCACAGAATCTCGAATTGGATGATAAACTGCTGGATAAATGAGCAGTTGGCGCTTCATCTAGACAGTTATCTCGTACGTACGAGATATTAAGTCTTACGTACGAGATAGTATCCCGTATGAACGACTTATTATCTCGTACGTCGGGATAATATCTCGTACATACAAGATAGTATCTCGTACATACGAGATAGTATCTCGTACGTACGAGATATTAAGTCGTACGTACGCGATATTAACTCGTACGTACGAGATATTAACTTGTACGTACGAGATATTAACTTGTACGTACGAGATATTAACTTGTACGTACGAGATGTTATCTCGTACGTACGGGATATTATCTCGTACGTACGAGATAATGGCTCAAAAATATTTTTACGTTGGCAGCAATACGCTTTCGTAATAAATCATAAAATGTGTTTTATCAAT